CTTGCGGTTTCGTTTTGCTTTGTTCACTTGCTCTGAGTTCAATAATGCTTATCTGATTTGTGACCCAGGTCGTACTGACTTTTGTGAGCTGAGCATACCCCCGCCCGGCAACTAACCACGGTTCAGTCCATCATGGGCATTGTTGCAAAGAAGGAGTTATTTTGGATCCGCCTTCTAGGAACGCACGCAAGAAAGGCTTGCACTTCACTGCACGCTTGGGAAGGAGGGCGCGAACAAACACAGCTCAACATTCAATGTCAAGGCACCTCACATCAGCGAGGATGCCACCATTTGATGCAAGCATTCAAGTCATTCGTATATGATATGGGATCTTCATTTCCCAATGGTAGGTTGCCCGCTGCTGAGGTGGGACGACGAGGGCGTGGGCGATCCGCCCATGGCCACTTGGATGTTAACATTCATGTGATGCGACCATGGCTTTCTATGTGATTGATCTGAAGCGGCGCCCATGAAGCACACCGGTGCTCTAACTCTAGCCACCTATAATGGCAAGAAATAATATTTTGCGGGACCCTGAAACATCAGTGACACATTGGTGATGTCTGTCTTGAATTCGTTGACAAGACGATGATCCGGCTGCGCGAAGTGGTTTTTGACTGGTCTGTGTTGCCGTATTCTTTGAAAGTCATCAAAACATGTGTCCCTGCCATTTCAGTGGTGAAACAACAACGAGTAAGGGATTGAGCAGGGTAGTGACAGGGAAACTGCACGTTGGACTAGTTTTCAATTCGTTCGCTTATTTTTTCTTGGAGCATTTAGTTGGGTTTGTCAACAATTAATGGGCGAATCCCCAAATTTGGTTGACGTCCTAGTGGGTTCCTTGACCCCACTGCACAGTTTTGGGCCAAAGGGCCAGCTCCAATGACTCTTGTTGCTCAAGCTGTAGCTGATCTTAGCAGACCACACCGGGGCCCCAAATCACCGCAGATGTTTGAGGCAGTCAAAAGCTGGTGAAGAGATCAGCATACTTGGCGTACAGGTTTTGCGGGCAGCATTGTGAATCGCATGGAGTTCAGGAATCACGTCACGTGAGCAGAGCGCCCGACTCTGATTTCAACATGGCCGGCAACATCGACTATCACGAGTCCATTGATGTTGTCTCATTTTCCATTGGGGGGTTGGTGACCCTTGTCACGCCTTGGTGAACATATTTGTCACTTTCAGGGAACCCTTTCTGGGGTGGTCTCAGAGGTGAGCCAAAAGGAAAACGGTCCCCCTAGTTTGATACTTACCCATACATCATAAGCTGTTTCCAAGGATGGGCTCTTCCCCCTCCACTAGTTCCGCTGGTAGTTCATCAAGGGCATGGCTGTTGACGACGAACTGTATGGAGGAAGCCCATCCCCAGCTTGTGCACGGGTTATCGTCATGCGTACCAAGCCTCAAGATGTTCATGAACATCCATTGCATGTGGGGATTGGTCAATATTCCGTTCGGCCCCCAAATGAAATGACCAGGCGTTGTTTTGTTCTCCCCAGTTAGTGGCTGACATGTCATTTTATGTTTTTTTACGGTATTCCCATGTATCACGGACCTTTTGATCAACCCCCATGTCATCTCTTTCTTGTTGACCAGCTCAGCTAAGGTTATAGTGGTCAGGAGCAGGGGCGCTCTTCAGTCGCAGCACCGGCATGGCTTGGTCGGGGGAGTGGACAAGGAGGTTTCGCCGTCTACGGTGTGCGTGATCTTCTTTGTGCCCAGACAATAGGGGGAAAGGTTCTTGTGCTTTAGGGGTTGGTGAATGGCTGCTGCGGCAAGTGGCAAGTTTAAGTTTTTCTTTGGATAGGTGGTGTGTGAGTTTTAGGATGGCGCTCACGTCATCAGGCTGAATCATTTTGCGCTGACAAGATCGAGTTAACACCAGCATTCCGGGGATTGGACAAATCTGTGGGGAGGAAAGTAGCCCATGCTCTTCACAACATATTGAGCTGCACCAAGTCTCAGGGTCAACCATAGCAGCTGGGGATTCAGAGGTTGCCCTTATTCGAAGAGATCCCGCCGTTGTTTGGAGATGCTTGGTGACAACTATGGTCAACATCGGATGAGCCACCAGTCTGAGCATTGAAGCTGCCAGCCGACGGTAAACTTAAGAGTCTTTCGCGCGACCTGAAATTATAGATAGAAGACCAGCTGTCATAAGGGTTTTGTAGGACGCTTTTTTGTTTTGCTCATAGGGGTTTGGCTTCAGATTGTGATCGTGCTCACGGCATGACAGATCGTAACCACCCACAGGCGAAACCGCAGTCAGGAAACTGCGGATGCTCACCATCCTGAGCCGGCATGGGTTCTCAGCCGCGAGCTGAGCGGTTCGATCGCGTTCGAAGAATTGTTCGATCCATGGGGGCATCTTTTTTTGCGGGGAACTTGCCAATTCTAATTCACATCTCTTTTTCATCCCAACAGGGGGATGTGGTTTCCCATGATGTTCTGAACCCCTGGACCTTGTCAAAATCGCATCCCCAGCAAAATGCACCCGAGGATGTGAAAAGGGATGTGAATCAGTTCCTTGAAAAATGGGGGGAGGGGCTCCTTGTGGGTAAAACATTCCAATGTGTTGCCAGAGAGGTAGAGAGGAGTCCGTCCCGTGTTGACACTTGGGTCAGGGTCGCCGCGAAAGGCGGTTCAATCTTCGAAGTTAAGACATGGAATAAGTTTGACCCCACTGCCACCAATTTGTGTGGACTGAGGATCATAGGTCAGTCGGTCAGTCTTCATTCACCAAAGATCACAAAGTGCGCCTCGAAGCATGATGCAAAATCTGCCCCAGAGCTTGTTGCCTTGTGAAGGCAGTACAGTTTCAATCAGATGAGGCGCAAATGCGCTCAGCGCTCGTTTGGCCTTCTAAGGGCTGGCGCCCTTGCGCTGGTCAGCGGGAGGTTTGCAAGAGATTTGGGGCTGCGGGATTGTAAGGATGGAGACACTCGTCACAGCAGTTTTGCCTGGTAAAGCAATGCCCCCCAACCCGTCACGCTTCTTTGATGCATCACTGAAGGTGTGGTTTGGCACGGATTTCTCTCTGTAAGAATTTGAGTGAACTCATTAACCCTTTGTCTAACCATGGAAGTGGGACAAAGGGCTTCAAGGAGAGTAGTCCAAAACGCTTCTGTCAGCTTCCTTCCGTTTGCTGAAGAAAATCGTTCCTGTTGATTTGAAGCGCAATGTTTCACTCTCTTCTAAAAAAGACGGGACTAAACAAACGGAAGCTTCTAACATTTGTGGGAGGGTTTCATAGCATCGCTATGGCCGCAGGTGGATGCCCGCTCAGCGGTTGACAGCTGGTCGCCGCTGCTGGCAGCAGGGCGGCCTGGATGGGCGCAAAGAAAGCCAAAGCATTCGAGTGCCGGAAATGGGAAGGGGCGGAACCGGGGTAGAGGGCGAGCTCACCTGAGCCACATCCTCAAAACCGATTCGGGATGAAGGTTAGGGAGAATGCCCTTGCCATAAAGACGGGTGCGGATAGCCGCCTTCTCAGTTCTTTACATGGATTTGGGTGGGCCAGGTTACTACCAGGTGTTGATTATGACTTTTCGAAGTCCTGAATTCCAGTATATAGTAAGTTGCCCACATACAGAGCGACCACTTGAATGCAGCATACTTCATCATTGGGGCATTTTCCATGCCTTGTCCAATGATCCAACAAAACTTTGGGAGCACCGAAATGTGCTTCCGGAATGAAATCCAAATGCATGACACCTACCGCAAGCCTGTGTTTGGGTCGCCTCATTGACACAAGGTTTTGGGAATGAACATAGGGTTTCCCTCAAAGGAAACTATGGAGGATTGGTTGTACGGGTCATTCCTTTCCCATTCTCTGTCTCCAAAAAGCTTAAAAGCAAATTAGTTTGATTTTTTTGGCCACCGGCCTGGGACATCAAAACAACAAAGCAATTTGCGCAAAGAACCGGCGCCGGGAGCGGCGCTCGAGCCGCGGCGAGCCGCGAGGCGGTGGAGCAGGGCTGCCGCCGCTTGGTGGAGGCGCTGCTGGCGCTGGGCGCGCGGCTCTCCGCGGACCGGCACCTAGGCCCCGATCGAAGCGGAAGCGGGAGCCGAAACGGATCGAAACCGGGGATCCTCCTCCCAGTGCCTTTTGGGTGACTTTTTTTGGGGGGTGAAGTTAGAAACTGGTGCTTGGCTTTGACCTTTAACCTATTATGCTGTTGGTGGTTTGTTTTGTTTGTTTCTTTGTTGTTGTTGTTTTGAGGGGGGAGGTTGGGTCGGAGGGGGGGGGAATTGTCCTTCCGGTGCTTCTGGAGCGGTTTGATTTGAATAAACTATAAGAAGACAACAACTTAGTCTATATCGTCTACAACTCAACAAATTCAACTATTGGTTCAAGCTTAGTTTTACTGTTTGTGTGAACTTCAATTTCTGGAAGGTTTCTCTGGTGTCCAAAAAGGTTCGGCTGCCTGATGTGCTCAAGCCGGTTTCAAGGCTTCAGTGGCCCCGCACTCTATAGCTTGGATTCGAGAAATTGGTCGGGTTCAATCAACATGAGCATGTTGAATTGGATCAGACGGCAGGGATCATGACTTTCGGGGTCTGGGTTATTGGGGGTCAGCAGGCCTGGCGGCGTTCTTGCTCACTCAGCCCCGATCCTTTAATGTGTCAGAGACTCGGAAACCACATGAAACCACAATGTAGTGCACTTTTGCGTCCTACAGATGTGGTGAACTGTTGTGATGTTCGAGCCCCCATTTGTTCCGCCGTTTGGATTGCACATGGGCGTGGCTTGCACTTGTTTGACTCAGCCAATCAGCGTCTTGTTGCACCTTCTTGGCATAGCACCCAGAGACAACTAGGGTCCAAAAGGGATCATGAATCTACGAGCTCTTTCCATGCAGGCACTCCACAACATGTACATATGCAATGTGGAGCTTGTCGATGGTATTCGAAGCGACAGTCGCCGCCCTTTTTTGGGCCGGCTTGGTAGGACTTGCCTTGTAATGTACCCTGTACCTAACGTGTGGGCATCTCCTTTAGCATTTGTGAAGCCGGCGGGATGGATGAACATCGCTCGCAAACTATCCTTATGCACCACGCAAGGCGCATTGCTTGTCAAGCATCAGCATGACATTGCTAAACCTGTCCCATGCATTACGGCGAGACTGCGGCTGTGTCAGCAATGCTACCAGGGCTGCTGTTGCGCCTAGTCAGAAATGGCAGATTGGACACGCAGTGCGACGATTTATTTCAATGTTCGAAGTGGAAGGTTTGAGCCTCCCTGCTTGCCCAGGTCGTGCAAGTCGTCCCAGATTTCGGGAAATGCAACTAGCGGCCATTGGAAGACAACTATCTTCATGTCCGGGTGTTTGTTCTTGCTGCACTCCAAGCATGTCCGATTTAAGCAACAAAAACAGGGTTGCCAACCCCCCCAGCCCCCGACAGCCTGCCTCACTGCCGCCTCACTGCGCAGGTTTCACTCCGCTTCACTTGGCTTGCCAAATGGGCCATTGGCACCTGCTGCCTTGCCTGGTACGGGGCACCCAGTCGCGTTGCCGGAAAGCTCCCTCGAGAAAAAGGAGCTCTGGGGCTCTCAACCACCCACCCTCTGGTAGCATTGTACCTACCCCCCTTCAGCAACTCCGTAACTTTTTGGGTTTGGACCATTTTTAGTGGTAAAGTTCAGAGACTTCTTGTTTGGCCAATCCACTCGAACGGAATTGAGGAGGGGGCCGAGCCGATTTTGAAGGCATGATTGAACAGCAGATCTGGTGCAACAGAAACCGCGAGGTGAGAAGTTTACCTCAAGCAAGTGATATCAAACAATTCGCACGTGTTCATGCCCCCTTTTTGATGGGCACCTTGCCCATGACAGAAGGTATATGGATTTGTGTCTGTGTCTGTGTCGGTCTGCATTTGTTTGTGTTTGTGATTGCGTTTGTGCTTGCGTGTCTCTGTTTGTCTGTCCATTTGTGCGTCCATTTTTGCGTCCATTTGTCCGTCCGTCCGTCCGTGGTTTGTCAATGTTTCGCAGTGTTTACTTGTAAGAAAGCCGTCTCAAACAACAGCCGTTCCCAGTTGAAGGGGCTCTGAACAGCATCGACGCCTGTATGCTTATCGTTGGCGCCAGCGCCAAATGCACTTGGTTTTTTCTGGTTTGAATTTGATTCCCTGCTGCCCACATGTTCTACTGTAATATTGCGGTGATGAACATATTTGTTATTTGCCTTATGTATAGGTCTGCTTGTTTCTGCAGTGCACGTGCAACCTTCCCAACAGCACCCATGAGATGCATGCGTGCGTTCCAACTCATTGCATCGTGTTGTTATTTTTGTTTGTTTCTCTTTGAGGCGTCATCATAAACCAACTGGGATTGATGTTGATTGCCCGCAAGCAAAAAACAAGCTGTACTTTGACTGTTGAAAGCAATCACTATTATCAATGAAAGCAGCTCGTGTCGAACATTGATATGGGCTTCATGGACGCTTGTTCAGACCTGTTCATCAATCGCCAGCCAATGCCACCTGGTGGTATCGCTAGTGTTGCTCGAGCAAGAATCAACGGCAGAATATTGCGCTCCCACCCGCGTTGCGTCGAGCTTTCTCCTTTGCAAGCTTTTCAATGAGACCCCGTTGCGTGGGCATTGCTACCCTCCCACAGGTCAACATGGAAGCTCCCAAGAAGACTTGGTTCCAGTTACAGAGGCCAATTGGGGGAGCTTCTATATATTAGTATGGAGTGGACATTTCTTGTCGATGTGGCACTTCAGTTTGGGGAATCTTGGATCGGCCTGAAAACTGGAGGCCCGAAGTGGAATCCTTTGATCATGGAAAGCACTTTTTGGAGTTAGTATTTTGTTTGTCGGTTGGGTTGAAGGAAAGCCAAAAGGACAAAATCACCCATCTTGGCCGGGAGGGATTCCCTTATTTTGGGCACACCCAGACAGAGGTTATTTCGCGTGAGAAGCTCCAGTCCAAATCCCCGGGAGTGCCTCGAGATGTGTCCTGCCCTTCCGTGCCACACCGGGACCTGTACTGTACAACAAACGCGGCAGAAGCAGATGATGAAATTATTATTTGTTACTTTCCCTTGTTGGTTTTAAAGGGAATCTAACACTACTGGAAATATATTTATTTCCAGTCAGTGGGCTTAAGCAAATGGAAGTACGTCATCGGGGGCAAATGAGAACAAACATGTTGCGTCCTCAATATGCTTTTGCTTTCCCGTTTAAAGGACCCGGAAAAGGGTGCCGACCCCAAAGAGAGCTGACGAATTCGGAATTTGTTGCTTCTATGGGCGTGGCTTTGGTGTTAGTTAAGGTTTCCCACCTGATTGGTATTCAGACCCTTGCAGTACTTGTTCGGCGATTCCTCTCTCAATTGCACTGAGGTCGAAGCAATGCAGAAGCAGCAGTGTCCTCGGACAGGATAACTCCTTTGCGTGAGTTCGTCTCAGAATAGAGGAGTCCCCAAACTTGTGGTTTCCCTTGGGTTCCAATGCAAAACGACATACGAAAGGGTGCCCGAAAGAGACGACGTTGTGTCGCCCAGCATACAGGCTTGCTTTACGTGCTGATGGCAATTTAGAATCGGAAGCACATCGTGAAGCTTTGTTTGAAGTATTTGTGGGAATGAGCAACCTCTTGCTGTTTGGTCCCACGTAGATCTCCGAAGCGACCAATCGATTTTTGATTCTTGCTGAACCTTAGCAGGGAATGAGGGAATGACCCATATACACCATCCCCTATTGTTTTTTTTTTTTTTTTTTTTTTTTTTTTTTTTTTTTTTTTTTTTTTTAATCTTTTTAAGGGAATCCCTTCCGGTCAGTACCAGCACCCTGAATCATTCCCTATCGCAGCAGCAAGCTTTTTCCGCCGTTGTTCTCATACTTACGGTTACTAAGGACTTGCAGACAAGGACGTAGAATACGGATTCGCGGGGCTGAGGTACCAGCGCGTTGCGGCCTGGGGACCATCTCCTCAGTGCTCCGCAACGGGGGATGTGGGGGCAACGAGGCAAAACCGTGGCGTTCGTATCTTTTGAACATCCGCAAAAATAGCGATTTGGGGCCTGCAATTGGTTTACAAGCTTTATGTTTATCCACTTCGTGATTGTTCCTCCCCGAAACGTGCTCTCACGTTTATTAACATGGGTGCACCGGAACCATCTTGTGGTTGCAGCGAATCTTGTGCGTTCTCCAGCCACCTCAGGCGGGTGGATGATTGCCCAGTGACAGGCAGACCTTTGAGTACCCTTGAAGACTACCCAATGGCAAAAACAATGTTCCCTGTCAGTCCTGTTCTTGGAGGTCTGCCAAAGTGGTCCCTCAAACGGTTGAGAAAGGACTCTGCCTCTTTCCGCTTGGAAAGTTGAGCCGTTGCCATGCGGAAGAGCTCCTCTAGAATGCTCTTGGGCAAAGCTGACGACTGTTTTGCTGGAAGCGAAACTTGATTCCGGTCTTCTGGGGTCATAGCTTGGTTGCATCATTGGTTTTGCCAATGTAGCAATTCCCTGCGCAGCTGTAGTGCTGACCACTTGAGATTGAGATATCTGTTGCTTTCTATATGGCTGTGGCTCAAAAAACCGGTTACCAAAACGGAACCCTGGTAAGTGGACACATGGACCAACACCTGCGTAGCCCCTGCTGTTTAATTTTGAGCCACGCCCATATCTCATTCCCCATTTGTGTGTATCCACTTTGCAACTTGATTGGCAAGGCGTTGCAGAAGCTCACGTGGCATCCCGAACTGAGCACGGATGTGTGGGTCAGGTGTTGGCAAGCCTGCTTCGGTTGACTCACGCACGGGTGGATTCCTGTTGGTGTCCCCTTAAATCATATCAGCACCAAAGAAGGGTACCCTCAAGAACAAACACGCCCAGATAGTGTGCTGGTACTGGCTTAAATGTTTTCCGCTCCGCATGATGTCAGTGGGTATGTGCCATCCTCAACTTTGTGTCTCAGGTGTGTCCCAACTGCATTTCGCAAAACAATCAATCTGTGGCTGGCCCTTTGGGCAATTGCTGAATGGGAACTTCTCCCCCCTCCGGTGAGAGCGCCTCTTGATTGACCGCGAGGTACATCTCGCTCAACGTGGCAGATGCCTATGGCAGGAGTGGCCCGTCGGTGTGGGCAGTCAAACTCCGAGACTCGGATCATACATAGAGGGACTCCGAGACTCGGTGTGGGTCTCCAAATAGAGGGACTTCGAAATGGGTGGTTGTCCCTTTGATGCTCCTTTCAGACCATCCCACCCATATTGCCAGTTAGCAGAACTGCCCACTGCCGACAAGAGATCCGAGTGCGACCCAATACCTTTGCGACCATTCTCTCGGACGCAAGGCCGCAAGAGCCAGGACGGCATGTGCCCGTTTGTTTTCCGAGTTGGCAATCTTGTTGGCTTTGCTTAAAGGGGCACCAAAAGGTGAACCAACCATTTTGTGGGTTCCCTTATTTTAAGACAGCCCATATGTGTGTTGCTTTCTGGCAAGGTGAGAGATCATAGCACTCAACTCCAGCCCCGGCTGGTGCCATGGTTGCCAGTGATAGGTCCCAAGGCATGCGAGTGGACGCAGCTGCGGCTCTAATGCCGTTGTCCTAACATTCCCATAAAACAAACACACATTTACAGCACGAGGAGTTTTGTTCTAAGAGAGCCAAAGCAACATGGGGCACATACCCTTGACATATGGTCTATGTGGTGGTCGTATCATTTTGTGCCTTGATGCCTCCACCTTTAGGGCGAGCACATGGCTGTACAGGCAAATAGCCCATGTCTTTGATTGATGCACTAGATTCTGCCGAAAATAAGTATGGCATGCTGTGATTACTGGATTGTTTGATCGTCATTTCTCGGTTGCCGGTGGATGCATGTCACTTCACAAGTGGTGGTTGGGGGAGTTCTCAAGATGCTGGAGCTTTTGGCGATGTTGGCGTTTTATAGGGGAATGCAGGAACCCACCCGTTTCTCGGGTCCACCTTCCAGTTTGAGAAACCCTATGAAGAAAGCCAAAAGGACGCCTCCAATGTGAGACAGACCTATTGACTCTCAATATAAGGCATTCCTGCCTTTGAAGGGAGCCACCATTCACCGAAGGCTTCTGCAAATTCGATGCCCTCTCTTTGGCATCCGCTAAGTTTTGTTTCACGGCACGCGGAGCCGAGAGACGGCCTGCCGACCAGTGCCAGGACTCCGCTGGACATTGCTTTGCTGCGATACTTCTCCAGCCCTGACGACAGGCCGCCTTCGTTCGTCCGGTGGCAACTTGTACCTCGAGAGGTAGGCAATGTATGCCCAGTGCTGAGGGTGCATTTTTGTGTACATTGTAGATTCTTTTTCAGACGCTTCTCTCAGGTTCGCAGAATTGCACCAGCAACATGTTGAGCCAAATTGTTCCATCTTCTGTTTGTCAAGCTTCATCAGCCAGCATCCATTAATAACCATGGATGCTTGGTGAATCACTGACGCTTTCTTGCTTCCGGGAAGCGGCTGCTGCAAAGGACAGCTTGAGCAAAGCGCAAGTTGCTTGGGTGCGCGTCCCTTTTGAACAAACCAGCGTCAGAAATCCGCCATCTGGAAGCCAACGGTCAGTAAACCAGTTTGTGTGTTTGCAGTTCCATTTGCTGCCGTCCTCTCTGTCGCTGGTCGGCAACATCTTGTCCTTGTGTGTGTGTGTGTGTGTGTGCTTCAGATGCTGCCAGGGGATGTGAAGCTCCGAAGATCCTGTACGGCAGATATCACCAATATCAACCTGGTTCGGTGTGTTGAACCCTCTAAGTTCGTGGAGTAAGTCTCTGTCAACTCGGGCCCTGCCAAGATGTATCTTCTGACAGGCCAGGCAACGCGTTGTCTCAACCTGGAGCCCTGGCGACATGGATCAACTGCGTCACCAGCTTTTCACTGTCCATAGTCAGGAGAAACATTGCCGCCCCCCCCCCCCCAATACCATGCTTGCACAAAGACCTCTGGCTCTTTTCTACTTCCCCCTTTGCATCGTGTTTTGTTTTTTTGCTTCGACCTTCGAAGTGCTTCTTGGTTCATCACTTGCTTCTCTTTGCATTCTCAAGTTGCTATCTTCGATTTTTCGCCCCGCGTTTGGTTTGTCTTGTAACTTGAAGTCGTTACGTTGACAAAATACTCACAGCGAGTTCCAACGCTGGGATCCCATAGCTGGAAGTTGCATGCCGTGCCGGCGCCTGGGAGGCCTGATGGCAAGGCGGGCAAGGGTCGAAGCGCGATGATCGAATGCCTATGCATGTACATATTCAACGTCCCGGGGCTTAAGACCAATGCTAGCTTCCTTTTCCGCAGTTTCGGCTTGAGTTTGAGATGGGCCACACCGATCCCTTGTGGGAGAGGTGTGGCTGTAGCGTGTGCCGAGCAGTTCGGCATATAGGAGACCTCGTCTTTGTTGGGAGGTCTCCTGAGTTCTGCTCGCGGGCTGAAGTGAAACTTCAGGTGCTCCACGGGACTCTTGGTCTCCTGGGTGAGGAGACCGGGTGGGAGTGCCCCCTCAGGCGGGGGCGCTCCCAGCTCTTCGGGGTCTCCTTCTCGGGGAGAGCGAAGGGAGGCCGGGGGCAAGATTGCAGGAGGCGCCCCCGGCCTCCACCTTGAAGGCGGGCTCAGGAGAGGGCAGCAGCCTGGAGCAGAAGAAGAAGAAAGAAAAGAAAAAAAAGGGGGAGAAAAAGGGAAAGCACAAGAGCCACAAGAAGGTCAGGCTCGAAAGCCGGAGCAGGAGGAAAGTCGGAAGAGAAAAAGCAGTGGAGGAAAGGAGAAGAAGCAGAAGGAGCAAGCAGAGGAGGATCCACTTTTTTCAGGTCGGAGGCTCCAGTGGTGTAAAGAAGGAAGAGGAGAGCAGTGATAAGGAGAGGACCTTCGGAGAGGAGTTGACCGATGTAGTAGAGGAGTCGCGAAGGAAGGGCAAAAGCAGCAAAGAGGAGGTTCATTGTCCGAAGGAGGACTGTGAGCTGAAGAAAGGAGGAGCCGGAGTTTCTTCAGAAGAGGAGAATGTCGAGTTGGAGTCGGAGAAGATTGGAGCGTTGGGCGTCACACAAGAAAGTAGAGGAGCAGAGGCTGTCAGAGGAGGAGCAAGAGAAGAAAGGAGGACAGGAGATAGCAGGTTCCCCTCCTCAGGCGACCGGGGAGCCACATTTAGGACATCCTACTCTCGGAGAGGTCAAGGGAGTGGGTGCCTGGGAGAAAACCTTAGCTTTTGCCTTGGCGCGGGCAAACGCACCTTGCCTTCCAGGAGCGGCTTTTGCCTTGATTGATCTTCGGAGGCGTCAAACTCACCTTCTCCCTTGCCTCTCCCCCACCTCTCTCTGAACGCCCGCTGATCCTCCCTTTTCTTCTTGCCTTTGGAGGAGGTTTGTTGGCTAGGAGACCCGCTGGAGCTGATCGAGCGCTTAGACGGCCAGCGCGGGCTGAGGGTGCGAGAGTTCAAGAGGAGGAGGATTCATCTGGCTTGGCCCGGTGGGGAACAGGGGAGAAGCGGTGTCCCCTCATCAGCTCCCGGTAAAAAAGCTGAAGCCTGAAAAGGGGACTGTTGTGGAGGCTGGGTCGTGCTGGTCGCCACCTGCCAGGGTGGCAGGTGTCGTGCGTCCGCCACCAGCGTCCCCTCACCAACGCAACCTCAACGATGACCCGGATGCCCTGAGCAGCGCCGTAAGAGGATCAGGGAGGATGGCGCGAGAACTTGAAGATGGTCAGAGAGCCAGCTGTGGAGGTGAAAGACGATCTGACAGACTTGAGGAGAAAGGCAGAGGAGCTGGGAGCCCCGCTGGACGCTCCTGTGATGAGACTAGGCAGAGGAGGCGAGGGGTTGGAGGTAGTAAGAAACAGAAAAAGAAGCGAAGCAGGCAGTCAAGCGCTTTGAGCTCATGCACGAGCCTCAAGGTCATCAGCAAGAAGGGCCTCGACCTGGTCTTTGGCAAGGCCAGAAGTGATGAGGAGGTGATTGAGGTCCGTGGTGGGGTTCCTCCTTGGAAAGGGGCCCCAGAAGATTTTGAAAATCGTCAAGGAGATCCCAGGACAGTGGAGACCATGAAGGAGACCTTGCTTACACTGAGGCAGTTACGGGCCAGCGTGGAGGAGTTTGCCCCTGTGAGCGGCGAGAATGTCAGGACCGATGGCTCGGAAGCTGCCTTCGAAGTGGATCTGTGCTTGCAAGGACGAGTGGCCAAGGCGGCGGGCAGCATGCTCCTAAGGCTCAAGTTGCTGTACCTCTTAGCCCTACCGCAGTGGCGTTAGCCGTTAAGCCCAGGCGGGAGGCCTCACCGTTAGTGGGGTGCGCTTACGCTGCCCTCCTAGGCAACAGGTGCTGGGGCGCAACGCTGTTCAGCTACATGTATTGTTGGGCTGTAGCGACGCGGATCAGTCCAATGCTGATTATGTTGAGCAAATGGGTGACGCCTTGGAGTCGGCCAGGGCTTGGCCTATACAACATTACGCTATCTACCATCCAGCTTCTACAACCAGCAGCCCACTGTCTTGCCCCACGAATTGGGTGAGACCACTTCCTGTAGAGCGAAGACCCAGCAACAGAACATGAGGGACTGTGGGGGCCGGACGTGGTTTCAGCTTCCGACGACTGCCCCGGCTTGGCACTTGCAATTTCCCCTGCCAGACAGAGTTGCCCAGGACTTGCCTGACCAATGGCGTTGCTATGCCTCGGCATTCGCGGATACAGACCCCCACCTCCGTGCGGAATATTCATACAACCTTGCCGAGGAGACTCAGCAGGCCACAGGTGAAGGCAGGCGGCCGATCGGACTAAGGTCACGCTGCCGTTGGGGTCATCGGAAGTGTCCGTTGTGACCAGGTCGCCCGCGGCTGCTGGCTCTAAGGAAGGCCCTAGGTCACTGGATGTAAGCATGCTGTCGATTGGCGATGAGAGCGTGAGGCCGGAGGGCGGTCTTTAAGGCGGCAGCCTCCTCCACGGCCAGGGCCCTGCCACGTTTCTGCCCTTGGCCACTGCCTTCACTACTTGCAACCCTATCAACGAATTTTGGGATTCACCCATCTTTCGACCCGGCCAACAGCGGGGTCAGAGGTCCCAGCTGAACCACAACGGCCAGGGTAAGACTTTAAGAGGCGCAATACGCGGAGTGGGTGGCGGCCCTCTTGCTCGCTCGGTAACTGGCTGGTGCTTAGCATGACACCCTCGCACGGCCTATCCTTTCACAGGTGATTGCGATATTGCTTTTATGCCCCGTGATTGGGACGGTATTGTCGTGGGCTTATCCTCAAGCTCACGTCGCCTATCCTGCCCCGCTGGCTTGTTTTCCACTGGAATGTATGCTCATGCTGATGTTTGCAGGGAAATGACCGCCAGAGGAGGAAACTGGCAGGTGTCACAGCGCTTGGAGTCGGTCCCCTTTCAAGCCAGCAGTACGGCAAGCATGCAATTGCGGAGAGCACGGCTGATTGGAAAGTGGTTGGAGGGAAAAGGATCCCCGGCGGACACGTCATGTGTACCTCCTGAAAAGGGGAGGCGAAAAGGGACCATCAGTCTCCTGGCTCCTTGATGAGGCGGAAGGGCATGAGGTTTTGGGCCACCTGGGCCTCATAACCCCTCCCAGATGCAGGGCGGGTTTTCCATTTCAGCTACTTCAATATTGACAGCCATGTGTATGGGTCTAAATTCTGCCACTTGGAACCTTTGTCTCTCAGCAAAGGGTGTTGGGCTTGGCTGAATGGAGTGGAAAGGTGTGCGCTAGTTTTCTTGGTTAAGGGAGTGGATTTTAAGGGTGATGAAGTCTTGGTTGCAAGACGCATTTTTTGGGCTATGATCCGGACTACGTTGGGCATGTCAGGGAGACCAAGTGTACACCAAGCCCGCAAGGGTTGCTGGATTGCGGGGTGGGTAGCTTGATTGAGGAATCGGAGACAGCGACTTCCCCCAAGGCGGTAACATTTTCAGGTTATATCCCCAGACTTTGGGTTTTTGAGGGAGGAATACCTCGGGGTACCTAGGCACCCTAAGAAAGCGGTAGCCTCCGCCAGAGATGCAGGGAGCATTGGTGGATGGGCGCAAGGGGTATGCCATCCCCAAGCCTGACAAGTTGATGAGATATTTCGACTTTTGCACGGTTGATTGTTGGAGGGCTAGTGTACGTTGCTCTGTTCCGAAGACCCCTCCTGTCATCTCTGAACTATGTGTGGACTTTTATGATGGATTTTGACGGTTCTGTGGAGGTCCGTCAAATGATCCCCCACACGGTTCAGGATCGCACAGTTTTTGTGTTTCCCTTGACCCGTTTTCATTTTAGGGTGAGAGCTGAGGGTATGGTGACAGCAAGCGATGTATCGTGCACGGGAGGGGGAATCACCGGCCCCGTGGTTTGACCCAATCGGGAACATAGCAGTGACTTGTGCAGTAAGAGGAGACCTGCCCAAGCCCGTGGATTTTCCTGCCATTTGACTATTGGAATTTTGGCTTCATGCTTTGTCCAGTTGTTCCCGAAAGTTGCGCAGAACCCTTTGCCGAATCAATGCCCTGTTGCTCGCCTCAAATGTACACCCCATTTGGGGGTACGTTCACACGTCCGTCAACCCCGCTGACCGGCCTAGCCGGCAGCCCTCGGGAAAGGCGTGAAGCTTTTAGAGGGCGCACAGTGGCAGAACGAGCAAAGGAGCGTAAGAAGATGGGAACTTTACGGGACTTGACAGTTCAACCAAGGACCAAAGAGTGGTATGAGAAAGCTTCAACTGCCTACATCCAAGCAAGATTTGGATCTGTTGGTGTCGGATTGTCTTCAACACCTATGGAGGGCCGGGCCCTAGCCTCCGATAGCGGAATGCGCAGGTTCCTTTCCCCTTGGTGTGGCAGGGGGTCTGGATCCGTCCTTTTTCGAGTACTAAGGCTCAGGCTTACCCTGCGGTATGTCCTTTCATTTGGATGGTGTGGATGTATGTGATGTTTGATTGTTTCAATTTTGACAAAATGTGGTCTTGCAGTGCAGAAAAGAAGCGGAGCATGAGTCTCTCTCTCTATATATATATAATGTATATGCATATATAATTATTATATAAACAACTATATTCATAAATAATAAGAGTAATAATAGCAATGATAATAATCATAATGGTAATAATAACAACACAATCATATAAAGACAATAATAGTAATAATAATAATATTATGAAAATATTGACAATAATGATTTTAATAGCAATAACGACAACAATAACAGCAGTACTAGTAATGATAATTCTGATAATAATAATAATTTCAATATTAGTCACGAAAATGGTAAGTGTGTTCTTTGTGAAGGTACTTCTGTAAAATTTTTCCTGAGCATCCAAAAGGCATTCCCCGAAAGGAGCTCCCTCAGATGACCATTTGTTGGGATTCCACGTGGTTTCTGGGCTTGTTTCGAGCAAGTGTTTCCTGTTCCCAGCTGGGACACTTGACACGTCCATATCTGAGCTTACACTGCGTTGCTTCTGTTTAGAGGAGACTTCAATGTTTGTGTTGGGGATTGCAATAACGGAATCTGGCAGGAGCTTGTTGAACTTGCTGTGTTGCGCACAGTCCTCCGAGTCTTCATGCTTCCGGCCCAGATGCTCATTGGGAAGCGCCGTCTTGAACGATGAGTGATTGGTGTTCCCGTGCTTCAATCACCGGCTGAAGGATTTTGGCAATTTGCTCGTTGAAAGTCAGAGCCTATCGTCAACGCGTAGCGCGCCCATCGTCGGCATTCCCTTTCACAAGTAGCATGCTAGGATTGACACAAACTGACCTTCCGAACAATCGAATCAACGCTTGGAGAACTAAGAGCTCGCCAAATCGAGTCTCTCATGTAGAAACAGAAGGCGGTGAGACTGATTTGAGTTCTCCCCGAGGTACAAAGCTGGGCTCCGCTTGTTTTGCAATCGGGGCGGGGAGCGCAGCCGGCGTTGTTTCGTAAGGGGGCTTGTGTGGAGTCTGATTGACTGAAGTACGGTTGGACGGGAAGCCAGAGAACATGCACGGGCATCAGGTTGGTTGAAAATAGGTGGCACTGGTTTCAGGTCTTTCATGTAGCGCCATCTCTTTCGATTCAATCCAACACCAGAGAATCTTTGCTCAGGCAGTGGATGTGCTGCGGAAGTTTATCCACAAGTCAGGGCGTCCGGAGTTAGCCTCGCTGGGCCTTCGTTTACGGCTCTTTGTCGGACTGGCCTCAATTTGTTCTTGCTGGTTCGCAGCAGGGAATGAAGAAATGACCCCTATAAATCCTTTGTTGTGGTTTCCTCCAAGGGGACCCCTGGGTTCATTCCCCACACCCGGACTCGGTCATTCTCTAGTGAGCACAAGCAAGTTTTGACCCCACAACCGTGGGGCTTCCTTGAATGACTGGGCCGTGTCGAAGGGACTCTACCACCTGACCACCTTATTTCAGGCTGGTGAAAATGCTACAATTCACCCAGAATGAGGGCTGATTTTGTTTCATCCGCACCCCGTTGGACATGTTCCCCTTGAAAGGATTATGTGTTCACATGTATGCGGTGGACACAGGAAACGGATCCAGTGTACCATTCTGCTTCTGGGATTCTTGATTCAGACACGGGCTTTCATGTTCTACTGATTGACTGTTTAATGCATTCATTCATGGCTTTAAGTGGTTCAATCATTTCATGACAAGTCACGCCATTTACCGTCACGTCATTTCATCTCATGTTATGTTTTGTTTTATGTTGATTAGTGTCATTTCATTGATATCATTCAATTCATGCCGTTCATATCATTCCTGTAAACTCATTTAGTTTCATGCCATGCCATTTCATTTTAGCAATGTTCAATTTATTCAGTTCATTCATGTCATGCATTGCAATGCAGTTCAACCCATGTCGTTCATTAATTTCATTTGCTTCATCCGTGTCATACAGTTCAACGCAGTTCAATGCGTGCCATTGCATTCACCCGTCATTCATTCTATTCACATTCGTCCATTTCATGCACATTAATGCATCTCATTGCATTTCATTGCGCTCATTTCATGTTATTTGTTCCTTGCCAAGTCCATTCCATTCCATACAATGCCCATTCAGCTTCCTTCCGTTTCACTCCACTCCATCCACTCCACTCCGCATTCATTCATACATGTGTTTGTTCGTTCATTCGTCCGATCGTCCGGTCATTATGTCATGTTAATGTCATGTTCAGTTCATGTCATTTCATGCACATGTCATATCATTTCAATTCGTTCAGTTCAGTTCAGTTTGTTCCTTCGTTCATTCTCTCATTCATTCATTCATTCATTCATT